TTTGCAGTCGTTTAATCTATTCCGTGAATACCATATACATGGCATATTCTCACCATGGCTCTCTGAAACTTTGAATCGCGTTCAATCAGAGGAGACAGGGTCACGTGATGCAATTTGCCACTCTCTCCCTGTGAGGCTCTCTAATTTGATCTCTTTAATTTTATAGCTATTTTTTACAATTATTTTATTTAATTATTTATTAATTATTTATTTTTTCATGTTACAAAGTTATTAGAACGTTATTAGAAATTTGATATTATTTCACGCATTCAAACCTTCTTATAAATGTCCTTTGATTATAAATTTGAGCTCAAAATTAATATAAACTTAAATATATTAAATTGTGGGTACAATATATGTATTGAGAGAATTTAACTTACTCGTAATAACAAATATATCCAAGTGTGACTGTTAAAATACATAACATGTAATACAGAATGATACCAGATACCAAATTTGCGTCTATTTTTCTTGAAACTAGAGTCATATTTTCCATTACAACATCTAGAATAATAATTATAATTTATAATTAGTGATGCTCATTTATTGAGAGATTCAATTTATTAATAATAAATATTTGTCATTTTTCAATATTTTTAGTCGTTTTAATAATAACAATTAATAACGAATTAATAATAAAAGTTTATTATGAAAAAATACATTGGTTGATAAGCCATTCATAATAAAGTAATTGCATTTCTTCTTAAGGTTTCAGGATTTCAATTTTATTAATTATTAAGTAAAATTAAAATAAATAATTTTGTATACTTGTTTATTTTGTGTTTTAATATATAAGTAAACTAGAATAAATAAAATTATAAATTGAATTAATATTATAATTATAATACAATTGAAATATTGTATATTTTTTAAATAACTATACTAAGAGAAAAATATATCGTATTTGTGACTATATAATTGTATGGTAAAATAATTATGGTCAGGAGCGTAATTTTTATAGTTATTATTGCTATAATGTTAGTAACAATAACCTTATATGTATTATAGTTATAACATTTTATAGTAATTTACCATATGCAAATATGATTTATATGTAAGATAACAATACAATTAATTGAATAAATACATATTATGATCGTTATTCGATATAGGTATAATAATTCAGTGTTCAGGTTACTATAATTCATATGATCAAAACAATTACAAATTTTGGTTGTCCCAAAAAACGGCTATAAGTTATAGTTAAGTTATGATTATTCCAACCATTTTTTCCCTCTCGGTTATTTAATTATTGTAATGAGTTACTATACTGAGAAAAAAAAAGGTTGGAATAACTATAATTTCACTATAATTTATAATCATTTTTTTATATAACCCTAATTTAATTATAATTTATTCTGCACATTTTTTCGATATTTTCTATGCAATAATTCTCGACACGTAGAGATGATGCACATTTTTTAAATAATTTTACATAATCTTTTTTTGTTGAAAATATATTTTGAAAACATTTTTGTATTATTTATATTATTATTTCAATTATTTATCTATATACATTATCATGTAAATTGTACATATCTATACATGTATATATATACAATATATATTTGTAGAACAATATAAATTAGCTTATTAGCTATATTTATTATTTGAATTATCTTACCAGTAATTGAAATCATGAAGATAATGATGATTAATAACTGTTTCATAATGTACGATTTAAATTATTTAACGCTTTTTTTTTTCAGAAAGCTTAATTATATGAGATTCCTCTTAATTTTGTTCGTGTAGTTATAAATATATCGTGCTACTTCAATCGCTTAAAATTTAGTGATAATGTCATTTAAGTGAACAAATCAAAATGTTTATGTACATTTGCTTGACAAAGACGCGTACCCAGTGAGAAATGATAATAGAATCGACATTGAATTGACGTCGATTCGACGTCGAAATTATCAAATCGATGTCGAATCGATGTCGATTTTATTGTTATTTCACACTGGGTATTTAAAAGAAATGTCGCATAATGTTTTCGATAATTTTATTGGAAAATTTCTTTGACGATAAGATCATCAAGAATATATATAGATAATTAATACGATAATAATATATACTAATACACACATTATGAATATTTATTATATAGATATAATTTTATTACATTATTTTTTTAAAGCAAACTAAGATGGACAGAGGGGAGGGAGGGAGGGGGGGAGAGAGAGAGAGAATAATGTATAATAATTATACTCTTTAAAAATAATCGATTTCATTGTCAATTTTATATCGATTATTAACAACTTACGGTAGCATGCAGTGACGAAAATTGCATATTACAAAATTTAAAAAAATATATGATAATAATTAAGTCTCAATAAGTTTTAAATAAAAGAATACTCTAATGACTCGTTATCATCCAATTTACTGCAATGTTTACATGTTAACATTTTATTTTAACAAAAAGTAATAGGTTATGTTAATACTCAAAGACAAACGAAAAGAAATTGGCATAATTAATAAATTAAGATTAATAATTAATATATCCCGAGTCAAAATTTTGACCCTTGATTAAACCTTTAATTCTATGATATAGTAGAAGCTAAAATATCAAGATAGGTTCAATTATAATGACACAATTTACCACTTTGACTATAATGATGTCGCAAATTTCCCTTTTCACTGCTTTTAGTGTTAAAATAGGTTGATTTGCAATAGGAGTTAGGATAGTAAAATAGGTTTGATCACAACCTCTATTGAAACTTCATCTGCTACTTGGAATATACACTACCGTTTATAAATTCGAAAACGCCTGCGATTTTTTCACATTTCACGGAAATTAAATTATCTCAGTGAAGAAAAATCGTAGCGAAGTTTTTAAAGATGCTTTCGAAGAGGAAAAATAGAGCTTTAAAATGGAGTTTGGATTTTGACTCTATGATATTTTCGAAATTACATAAAATTGAAATTAAAAAAAAATATTTTTTTCAATATTTTTGTTAATCTTTGAAGCCCTCTATGTGGATGAAACATCATCACACAAAATTTAATAATCAAATATTTCGAGTAGACTGTCTAAGCTTTGAAATGCTTTCAGAAAAAAATTGCGATGATTCTTCACAAATTGACTTTTTTATTGTGTATAATTTTATTGTATAAAATCTTACTTTTTCTAAAATTCGAAGTTCTATATTCTTCCTCTTTAAAATATATTTTGAAAAATTTTTCTACGATTTTTTTTTCACCGAGATACTTAAGTTTTTGTGATATGCAAGAAAATTGCAAACATTCCCGAATATATAAACGATAGTGTACCTTCCGTCCACAAAATTATTAATAAAAAAAATATAATACTCAAAAACAGACAGTTAAATTATATTAAAACGTAAATTTATTAAAATTTATTAAAAATTGTTTACATTAGAGCACAATTATAATAATAACACTCATTAATATTAATAATTATGATACTCATTAT